GAATGTAATGACACATGACAAAATAACAACAGGGTCTCTATGAACAAGCTGCTATGTTTCATCTGATTTCTTAAGGATCAAAGGCTTATATTTGTTTTCCTAAAGGCTTTAGTCGAACATGTTAATACTGTCCTACGAACAAATTGTGCTTCTTTAAGCATCACCAGCTTGAAACTAATACAGCCAAAATGAAAGGTACATGTCAACTAAGGGTTTTTGCACTCCAAGCAGCTGTTTAAAGAATATCACTTTACCAATTAATTCTAAATATATGGTACAACCCTTATATCTTAGTAGTTTAGCAGATTTGTCATACTCTTTACATTTGTAGATCGACAAATGGAGAGTAGTTTGTTCTTTTACATAATCCTGCAACAAAATTGTCCTTAATGAATAATTTGAGAGGGAGTTCATGACCACTAAGTATCAGCATTCAAATTCATCCTAACTGCATTATTTACGGGGACAACTGGGTCCATCCATCCTTGCATCGTACATGCAAAACAACTACGATAAACTGCAAAGAAACATAAACCACTCCATAAGCTTTACGTGTTTATTAATAATTCCCATTACAACAAAGAGTAACAGAAGGTACACACTGAGATCCTGGACGGGACAGCGAGACAAAAACTTGAACCCAGACCAGCATTGTTCTTTTGGTTAGATTTAGCAGCAGCTTCTTCTTCAGATAAACGAGTCACCTCCATCGCTCAGAAATGTTTTTATTCACCCAACCCTAAAAGTGTAACAGAACAGCAGTACTGTACCTTCGCTGTTTTCTTCAGGCAGGCGACTGGAATCAAATGAATTTCAGACAGAGACCACATCAGTTATGAATGGATGCTGTGCAGCCTAGCAACCACCCAGCCAATCAGATGAATGAAACCACAATCCATATGCAAATCAAAATATTAACTCATTAAAAGTTAGTTTTCACGCCATGCTTCATTGATTATATTCAACACAGTGAGGTATTTGGCGTGATTACATGAACAGAGTATATAGCACAAGAGGATTAATAAGATGAACACAGAATTATAAAAGATTTTACTCCTTTATTTGTTTTAATTGTGCGATGCAGCTTAGTATTAAACAACTTCCCCATTCTCCACTAGAATCATCATCCACCCTGTCAATCTTGTATCACAACTCTTCAACACAGCCACTGTAGCTCTACGGCTCCCTCAAGTGGACTCAGCAAGGAGGTCTTCTCCAAACTGATGAGTGAGTCGTGTCCAGTGGGGGAAAAAAATCGTCCAGCACCTTCTTACACAAAAACAGACCCTGTTAAAAGGAACTAAATGTTCCAACTATCTCAAGTGTTCACCACTTTGACCTAAATATGTCCAAAGAGTCAGTGAGGAGAGCACAGCTCTCATCGAATGCTGGCCATATCATCCAGATGGGGCGTCTTCATGCAGCCCGTGCACAGCTGATCCATCCACAGGGGAGCCTCGTGCTGAAGGGGTGTGCGTCGTGGGTAAAAGGTGTATGAGGGGTCGTAGTTCAGGAGGCAGCTCAGGGAGGCCATGTAGATGTCTGAGAAGCGGCTCAGGCGTCTGGAGAAGTAGGTGGGATTGTGGCATGTTCTGAAGATGCTGCCAAACTGAGGGTTGAACAGGTTCTTCGTCATCACCCTAAAGCACATTAGGAAAGTTAATGCAAAGTCAAATAAAAACAAATGTGTGTAGTTTAAATTAGAAAAAACAAGAATGGGTTTAGCATTCAGAAGAGGCCTATTTATTATGCTATCACCAAACAAAAACACAAAGGCCTTTCAAAGTCACCCAATTAGGCTCAACGATTGGCGTTTTCTTTTTAAGAACATCAGTAAGTAGTATTATGAGGACCATGGACACAGTCACCTATACATCTCAAACATATTCTAAGCTTTTGACATCTCAAAGTGTGAATCTATCAGTAGAACATTAAACAATTTATGTTAAAACTACAAACCAACCAATAAGATTGGCTTATGATAATATGTGAAAAGGTTTAAAGCAGTTTTAAGATTTTGTAAACCAGAGTAACTGCAGACCTACAGGGTGTCACAAAGAGCTATAGGAAGGACTAACATAGGGGCTGCTGTTAGCAACAGGAAGGACCGCATAGATTGTCAGAGGGCAATGAGTTGACTGGGAGGAGCTAAACATTAGGAGGCCAGTAAACAGACTCACCGCAGCTCCTCTCTTTCTTTCTGCCATTCCTGAAAAACTTTTTTAGACTCTGGGTCACGGTGTGTCTGAAATAGTGAAAAAGAAAAGCGTTCAATGAATTTAAGTACAAGAATAACAAAAAAAAGGTGTTGACAAAAACATGTTAACAAGTAGACAGGATATTGATTATTTCTGTCATGCATTAGCAGTTATCTCATTTTCAGTTAAAGATAGAAGTGCATACAGTTGTTGCATGTTCTTCATATGGGCCTCCAAAGGTTTCACATGATCTGATCCCCTCACTAACAGAGAGGTGTAAAGCAAGGTTTTGTCCCTAGAGGCATTCCCTCAATTTGGAAAAGTCACAGGGTTCACTTTCATGTGAAGCCTTCCTAATAAGTGCTTCATGACTTAGGGTCTGTCTAATTTTACCCAGCATTTCTGCTTCTCCTTTACAGCTGCCACATATGTTAAGACTTGTACTCTGAGTGAGATCTTCTGAAGCCAAACTTCAGGAAAAATCTTTCAATGGAAATTTGCAACTTTGGCGGCACAACCAAACCTGTCAAAAAGGTTCGCTGGACTAAAGTTTCCAAATTCAACTAAAGGTTTCAACAATAGCAAAAAAAGAAAAATGTAACTTTTAAAGGTGTGTTACAATATGAGCCCGCTTATGATTAAACAAGAGATGAGAAAAGAAAGCTTTGACACTTTTTACATCCAGATTTATTCTCTAATAACCCAGAAAAACACCCATAAAACAATTTACACTGAAAGAAATGTGATAAAGATCATCTTATCTCATTCTTTTTCACAACAGCACTTTAAGAGCAGACTAGTTATGAGCTGGTTACCAGTGTTGAGTATTAAAAAGTCAAACTGGCACACTGGTTTATGATCTGAACTTGGCTGCAGCCAAACAAAGTTTAGACAGAAGATAATCATTGGTCAAACCTGACATTTAATTTTAAAGATGTTTGTTTTTCACACAAATGCAAAGATATGTTAACACCTTTTCTGTGGCACCAAAACATCGCTCAGGCACTGCAGAAAGTAGGTGAGGAAGTCTTTCAGGGTACTTGGTTTGACAACTATCAGCTCCCTCCCTGTTATGGACAAGTTTGGGCTGCAGGCAGACCTGTTCACTAGCCACACCCTGTTCTACTGCAGACTATAGGTTTAACAGCAGAGACAGTTTGGCGCAGCGTTATCTGGCCTTTGGCAAATTCTCACCTGTCACTCACCAACATATACTTTGTTTGTTTTTGCCTTTAATCAAGACCAAAAGCTACAGTTAAGATTGTTCGATAATTTTTATCCTAAGCTGCCTGATCCAAACTTTGATTTTGAAATCCTGGCGTCCTGCAGGTCTGGACATGAGAAATGGGGTTGAAAAGCAGCTAATTAACTGCTGGCGATTTTGTGTTTTGTCAACAGAATTGTCTTTGTAAACATGACATTTCTGAGTTAGAGAACTGTCAGGACATTAGTAGCAAACAGGACATTAACCGCTTACCTGAAGGCGCTCCATCAGGCCGGTTAGGGCCTGCAGCCAGGTGAGGGTCACAGCGTAACGCTGAGCGCTCACTATTTTGGTTTCGTGATCCAGTTCCGGGACAATGGCAGCAGTACGCCAGCCGTGTCGCAACATCAGATCCTACAGCAAAAACCCAAACAGGTTAGATTAACTTTCAGTTTTCTTCTTTTATGAAGACTAAAATATTTGGGAATTTTTTGGGGGGACTGTAGAGGAGGTTCATTAACAATAAATTTAAATAAACGTACTTAGAATAGGTCATGTACAGTGTAAAAGGGATGTATTCATTTTATCAGTGCAATTGCTTCAAGTTAATTTGCAATCTGAACAATAAACAAAGGCCGTTTCTCAATATGCGTTCTTGAGCGTTCTCGTGTGCTCGTGATACGTCATCAGCCTCAGCCCGAGCACTGTTCCAGTTGCAGAGAACGCATCAAATCCCCGAATGTTGTTGCCACTATATGGCCCATTTACTGATTTATTGAGTAATTAAAAAAAAAAATTCAGAAGTTAAGAGGACTACGACAACCAGCGGAGCTCCCAAGCTAAAGGCAGCCCAGGCTAACCTTAGCCCATCTGCAGCAGCCTTCTCTCGGCATAGCTGTGTGTGAAGGACCGCTGGCTCTGATGGCGATTTATTTTGTTTTCTTTGGCAAAATGTTAATTTGATTTGTGTTTATCTGACTGTGTTCATTATTATCCCCCCATTAAATGAAAAAAAGTCTGAATTTATTATTACACAAAGACTATTAATAACAGGAGGTGAAATGCAGCTCTAGACGAGCTGAGCGTGTGGTGGCGTCACGAGTACGCTTCTGTTCCAATTGACCCATATCTATGCTGCGTGCTCGCTTTCTCACCAAGTCCAGACTGTCCTGTGTTCTTGCCCAGACCGGACTTGACGAGAACGAGAGTACTGACTCGCGTTCTCTTTAAGTCCGGTTAGGGTTAGGCGTTAGACACTCTCTCGATGACCCGAATTAGGGTTAACCCTAATCCTAAGCGTGAATTGAGAAATGGCCAAAATGTCTGACTGTAGATCTTGAAAAGATCAATTCCTCATCAAGAAAAAATTAGGCAATGGCCTTCGTGTCTATAAAACTTACATCAAGAATAAGCTTGTTTTCATTTCTTTTTTTTTAAACAAAAGAAGTAAAAGTTTGAACAGCAGTCACTTTTTTAAAGGGGCATTGATAACCAAGGCACACAGGAAATAAACTTCACCATCGCCTGTCTGTTCCATCACCTGCACAGCATCTGACCATCTATAGTCGCATGCCAGTCGTTCTGGTTTGCTGTGTCTTAAACATTCAGAAGTGCCTCAGTAGATGAAGGAAAAGCTGACATTGCAGTAACCCGGTCCAATGTGGAAGTAAACTGAGATCTAATTTGTTCATATTGGCTGATTGTGTCAATTGAATTCTAACATTGTTTCATTCTCTACCATGTTTAGCTTACAGGAATGTAGCACACTAAAATATTTGAAGTGTCTTTCTTCAATAATGGAGCACAACCTCTAAATGTAAAGAAAGAAAAGTCTGTTTTTTAAAAACTGCGCAAAAAATAAAGAAAAAACCAAAGATAACATTTTTGGCTGACTGCAAGTGTTCAAATCAAAGTGCTTTACTTGAATGTTCATTTTACGATAGACTGGAATAAATGTTCCTGTGAAATGTTCCACTTTCCTTCAGTCACACACACTGACGCCATTGGATAAATTAAACACAGGAGCTGAGTCATGTTAGCAGTAATGTTTAGTCATGCTGTGAACCTTTTAGCAAGAAAATGACCAAACTTCAAAACTTACAGCCAGGTCGCTATAAAGATGATCTCCAAAGTAGAGAACCTTTGATCCTCGCCAGCCGGTGAGCCTCAGGAAGTCAAACAAGTTGCCCTTTTAAAGCAAAACACGGAGAGCTCACTTTAATATACTGTTGGAACATGTAGTAACATACCTGGAGAGCGAAACCAGATGCAGAAGGAGATATTTCTGACCTGTTTGTAGATCTGCCCTCTTTCCAAACTGCTGATCTTCTCCCACCTCAGGTCTCCGTTATTATCCAAGCGCCTGAAAGGTCTGTAAGCGGGTATGGTATGATCACTTTCTAAAGCCAGAACTTAAACACATCTATAGTGAAACATGGTAGGGGAGGAAGCATCATGCTGCAGGAATTTAGATTTTAAGATGAGAGGTGATGGGAGCTAAATACAGGAAAAACCTGGGTTTTTTCTATGTACTCAAGGACACTGAATGCAAGGACACAAAACTCCAACTAAAACACATTAATGTCTGAGGCAGTAATGTGGCAGAATGTGAACAAGTCCACAGATTACAGCATTTTTTTCCCCGAAGGCCTAATGAAAAGTAAAGTCACTAACTTGATACAGTCGGTGAAGAAGTGAGGTTTGTCTGCCTGGACGATAACAACGTCAAAGAAGTCTCTCCAGTTTTTCCCCACCATGTGCGTCATTCCTTTATCCCTGCGCAGAGAACAGAACAATAACTTGCAACACAGCTTCTTTTTTTATGCATTTCCTTTACTGTGAGTCAGAATGAACTGCAGCAGCAGGAGGCCTCCTGGGACTTACACAAAGCTGAAGGGACTGTTGGTGATGAGGAAAAGCTTCTTCCCCTGCCTGACCAACCGATGAAGGACGGCATCCGTCTCTTCTTTTCTCAGGATAAACTTGTCTGCAAGGTTTGAGCGAATTAATGCAACAACATGGAGGTTTGAAAAAAAAAAAAAAGGAAAATGCAGACAGGAGAGGATGTTGTTCTTACCAAGGTCTTGCATGATCCACTTGTACATGTAGCCTTTGAGGTGAACCATTCCTATGGCCTCCTAAGGTGAAAAAACAAATTGGTTAATGTTTTCCTCATACAGATGTCTGCGAATGTCACCATGATTCAGTGGGATTTAAACTGACACATTAATACTGAGGAATTTTTTTTTACTTTTACTCTTTTCTTCATCCAAGCTACAATAACCACAGTATGATACTACCACCACCCTGTTTCAGTGGGCATGCTGTGCCCAAGATTATGTGCGGCATTATTATTTCACTTCCTATAGTGTATTGTGTAAATGATTAAAAAAAAAAGCTTGCATTGCTTATTTGTAAAAAAAAAAAAAAAACGTCCTCCTTCCACTCAACTATCAGGTCCATCCCACATAGGTTTGAGACCAAAAAGCGACCTGAATGTTTTAAGAAGAAGCTTTATGAACATAATTTAAGGACTATTACTATCAGGTTTCTTTCAGTGAACATGTTCATATTTTCCCTGGGTGTTCCCAGTAAACCGACATGTTTGTAGCTGAAGAGGAAAAGCACTCATTGTTCTTGGCTTCACTGGTGAATGCTGCCACAGCTCAGCAGATTCCTGAGCCTACAGCTGAAGGATTACAGGACTGTATGTGAAAACAGTCACATACACGCCCTGCTCTGCTCTGTGCTCGTGCTAACTGTGAGCCAAAGACGGAGGAAATGTAGAGAAACTCACAGAAACATCCTTGAAGAGGTGAACCGGGTCGTACTCGATGTCGTTGGTGATGAAGAAGTCATTAGCGACGGCGAGGAGGGTCATCTCTGGGATGGAGAAGATATCCATGAACTGCTTCACCTTTGGCCCCTGCAAACAGGAAGAAAATATTATCTTTTTCAACTTGATTACCATGACAACTTAAGTTACTAAGATGCCTTATTATAAACAGAGTCAATGAGAATATAGCCCCACTGAGACTGTCCTTGTGAGGTTTATTTACAGGCTGGATTAGGAGAAAGAGTTGCATGAAAGCAATTAAAATGTCCAACCAAAAACTGATGTCAACTTGACCCAACATTTCACTCCTAATTGATCCAAATTGGACTCATGTTGGCTCACCTTGTGCTCCAACTCCCCTGTTTAAGTAAGCTCTCTTTTTGCGCCAAACTCAGAGGGAATCGGAGGCATAAAAGGCTTTAAACCTTTACAAAGAGAACTTTGGCTCAGCTTTTCTGACACAGGAACGTTGCATTTCTGCCGATTTGTTAAGCCAATGGGATAAACAAGATCCACAAAAATCACAATTTGGTCTTATGCAACACCGCTGACCTCTGAATATCTGAGGATATTCCCAGATTACATTCTCAACTTGTTTAGCACTGAGAGTATTACTGTAACTTGTATAGTTTGCAGCACTGAATGCAGGCCCAGACTAAACTGATTACATTTGGAAGAAGCACAGAAAAAAATGCCAGCTATTGCTCAACGACTGTTTCAAAACTAAACTAATGGTGAAAAAAAACAATCCAACATATTAAGATAAAATAAAAAAGCAAGTTAAAACTTCTAACCTTTCCGTAGAAGCCGCTGTCCTGCGACAGCGGGACATGGAAAGTCCCCCCGAAGAGATAAAGGACCTCCTCATCCGACACTGGACTCAGACCCCTGAGGGCAGCAAAATTTATGTTTAGAAGATAATATTATCTGACAAAACAAACAATATTTTGCCTTGAGCAGCAGGGATGAAGATAAACAGGAATAGTCAATGTGTCTGATTTAGATAAAGGAAAGATCAGCAGCTCCTACCGATACACTGTTCCTGGCTCAATGTAATGGAAGGCATCAATTTTCATCAGAAGTCCCTACAGGGGGGAGAACAGTTTTATTTGACCATAGCAAGAAATAATATGAACAGGTGCTTTTTAATATATAAGAACATGTAGCATGTATTCCAGCTATTTATGACATGAACAGATCACACACAGAGAGGATTATGATTTACAGCAAATAAAAACCCCAAATGACCTTTTTTAAACAATCGTCAGCTGTTAAAATAGACTGAAAGAGAGCTTATCTCCAAGTCAGGGCTCTAGTCTGGATCCGGAGCAAACAGCTCGTAAATCAGGCTGCTCTCCATAACTGTATAGGCTATGACATGGCAACCACATAATTGTCACTTTTATGTGACTTGTGTAATAATGTAATTGTCTGGGAAACGATTATCTGATTTTGCTGCAAGTCAAACTATTGTAAGTAAACATTGGTGTGCTTAGATTTTACTGCATTAGAAAAAACAAAAAAAACAAAAAACAAAAAAAATCACCTTCTGGATGTCATAGTGCAGACCTCGGACGGCAAAGTTGGGAATGTACTCATATTTGGCGATTCCCTCAGGGTACTGCAATGCAGGGAGACAAAGTGCAAAAGTTAACAACATGAGCTTCATAATCGGTTTTAATTTTGTCTTTTCCTTCATGGTGGGTGTAGTTGCTCTGAAGGGTCAGGGTAAACTGGCTTTACCAACCAAGCTGCAGTCTAATCTCAACACACCTTAAAGTGTTCAACCAGGAATCCTTTTGCTGTGTCGTAGATCAGGGCGTTGAGCGCGTTGGAATACTGAGCCAAAGTGTAGTCGTAGTCAAAGCCATAGATGTCCACTTCCTCCAAGCTGACCTCGTTGTTGGCGTAGATCACAGAGGAGTTAAGGCTCTTACACGAAGCTGGAGGGATCAGGTCTGAACAGATAGAGACAGATGGGACTCTGTGACTCAGTTCAAATCATGATGGGTCATTTCAGGCCAGACAACTATGACTCAAGTAAAAAGAGAGAGGAAAAACACTGTGATTGTGTGGGGAATGGCAGGATTAGAGTTTTACAGAGGCTGCTGATTCTGCACTTCTGCAGAGAGGAAAGAAGTTAACTCTCCTCTAGCTTTTTTTTTTCCTCAAATGAAAGGCTGGCAAGCTTGACGGAGATTGCGTAACTTGCAGTTCTCAAATGTCAACTCGCTGTTGACCAAACCAATTCAACCCAAAAAGTACATTCTGTGCACTGAAATCTGCGGTTGAAAGCCACCCCTGAGTGGAAGTACAGCGTGTATCGTAATACACTTAACTTCTGCTTTATCTGCTTCCTGGCTAACACGTGAAAAAGCTGCGACACGGGGACGACTGTTTACATTCACAGTCAGACTGCAACACCCACTCTGGCGCTGTGTCATCCTGCATGGTCTGTATGAGAAATCGGGCTATGACCTTCCACCCTGGGACAGCTCAATAAGCTGGGCAGCTGGGCAACAGGCGAGCATTCGGCTACCCTCTGGCTGGCTGCCCTGCAGCTTAAAGTGCCTCCCTGGACAGGCAAAAGCACATACTTTTCAAAAGATAAACATCTGCAAACCACAATCCTGAAGGAAATGAATGTGTGGCCTTCATACCGAGTAACAGAAGTTAGTTACTGAAAAAAAAAAAACTTTTTTGCATGTGCCAACTTTTGGAGAACACGTGCAGTACTGAAACAGGAAAAACAAAATGTACCCTGTGGTGTACTTCTACTGTACTTTCATATTGCACTATAAACAATAGTGCAAACTTTCAGAGGGCCCGACTTTACTTTCACTAAAAAAAATTAAAGAAAGCCACCATGCTCCTTCTGTTAGGCAGAAGTGGATAATCCAGGTCATAGTGAGATTAGTTTCAACCATTTCCAGAGACAGAGACTAATCATCTGGTTACTGAACAGAATGAAGGAAAACTAGGCAGGGTTTATTTCTGAACCAGCCATTGAGCTGTTCTGTTTATTTGAAAGTGTTGTGGCATGGGACTTCTCCCTGCACCCCTACCATTAACAACCCTTTAATGCAAGTATACTTTAAAGGTTTTAAATGATTCATATTCTGGAGCTTAGCTGCATCATGGTACAATTATACATGTAGCTGTATTAAAAGCAAAATCAACAACAACAACAAAAAAACCTGTGCACAATAGTTTCTTGCCGATTTATCTGTTTTTATCTATTTTATATAAATGCCAGACTATATAAAATTTAGGTTAAAGAGCTGTTTTCCTTTTTGTCTGTTTTGATGTGCAATATCTAAACTGTATAAATAAATAAAAAAAAAACAAACAAAATGATGTCAAATAATAAGACATTGGTCCTGTGTGCAGCTGTCCTTAGTTAAACTCAAGACCTCTGTTGCTGGTTTTTCTTTGTCTTCTTTAAAGTCAGTTGAGTTAAATGGTTGCAGTTCATTAAAAAAAGCATGTTAGTCAGCCATCAATCACCATCAGGTGTGTTGGGAGAGGTAAGCATTTAAAGCATGCAGGGACGTGTGACTTCAGGGCGAGGGTTTAAAAACACTTATGACTTTTGTCACCCAAAATATCTCCAAAAGGTGTCCGACTAGGGAGGAGCCAGATTTCAGCCAGCTGGCTGGCAATGCTAAGCAAACACATGGGTAGAAAAAAATAGCAGATTCACTCAATTAATCATTTGATCAGCCTCAGACTTGTAACTTTTCCAACTCCAATCATCTACAGCCATACATTTATGGAAAGGGTTAAACTTCTCCTGCAATAACAATGTTAACCTTAATATCTTATTTCATTATTTAAATATTTAAAACATACAAAAGAGAAGAAAAAAAAGCTTTAAAGCATGTACCGCATCATTGAGGTAAATTTAGGGATTACAAGATTATCCAATGCATGCAGTCATGGCAGTGTCTCCCAGCACAGCAAACAAAGAGTATCATTGTGTGCAGGCATGCTTCTTTCTGTATAACAAACACTTTTAATCTTAAATATATGGATAAATGCAACCCAGCCTTTATTATAGTTTTTATTCAATTATAACCATTGCATCAGCCTGGCAGCTGCTTTTAGACAGACGGCTGCAGCCCATGCTTTGGATGCAGGACCAGAATAAATGCATTAATGTTGTATCATCATGTGGATGAAACATAAAGGGATCATTTTAGTGGAGCTGTGGTGCCTGGTGGAGCAGAAATGCTGAGTCGTTGTAAACAACCTGCTGCAGAGCAAACTTTCACCCAAAACGCGTGCAAACCCGATTAATAATAAGAAATATGCAAAAAGATGATAGTAGAAAAGCCCAGCATGAACAAAATGTCCTCACTGGCAGCAGAAAAACATCTTTCTATTGCTTGATGACGTGGATTGAGGGGGGCCCTGCTTTCCTTCGGGGTGGGTGGTGGGGGGGTGGACAAAGGGGGTCTCTTGCTTACCGTGAACCAGCCGCTTCAGGTCATTGTAGCGGCTCCACAGAAACGACGTCTGGTCCATGGGCGCAGCGTTGGAGGTGAAGGAGCGCCTCCTCACGCCGCTAACTCCCGGAGCTCCCACGGCCTCCTTCAGCCTCTTCTTGTCTCCGCTGCCGCCTTTGAGCGGAGCCTCGCTGGAGGACTGCGCCTCTGCGCCGCTCGGCCTGTCCGAGTCCGAGCTGCAGCTTTGCCCCTTGCTTTTCTCCACATGCTTCCCGAGCACTCTGCTCGATGTAGAGAGCCTGTTCACGCGTGGGGATTTGGCGAGAGGTGGGGTTCTGTTACCTCTGGCCCACAGTGTCCGTGTCAGCACGGTGCCTACGGTCTTAATAGACATTTTTTTGCACGGAGATATGTAAACACGTCTAGCTACTTCTGCTTCTGCTGCCTCTGCTACTGTAGGATCCAACTAGTTTGAAAACAAACCTCCTCGCTCTCTGTGGCCACGCCCACTCACCCCCTCCCCGTGGAAGAGGAGGGCCCCCTATCGCTGTTCCTATCGCCTGCACTGACATCACCGTTTGCTGCTGTTTACCACTCTTATCTCTGACTTACTTAAATGTGGAAACAGAGTCCTGTTAATAGTTCCTTAATATATTCAGGAAATGTCTCGATAGGCCTGTTAGCGCTCTTCTTTATATTCACCCTCAGTCTAATGTTGGGCCCCAGCCTGGCCCTGAAGGTTTACTACACCCTTTGTTCACTGAAACAAACACTAACAGCTTAAATGCATTAGAAAATGAAGAAAGATAATATTTTTTAATATTAAACAAGCTGTGTAACAATTTCTATACAAGAAAAAACAGAGACAAAAAATTTTGACATGAACCAGATATGAATGCAATTTTCAGACTCTATTAATGATGTATTTATAAATCTGAACTTTTTGTATTGATATTGTGCACGATAGAATAGTCCTTTATCAACATTTGGTAAATGTGGAGGTCTCATGGTTGTGTTTCCCCTGCTGCCCTATGGGGAGAGGCTTTGTTGCATCAGCTGCTGGTCCAGCAGGTTCTGCTACAGCTTTTTCCCCGCTGCCGTCAGAATATTGAACTGTTTAAACACTAAACTGGACTCTGTATCACACTTACTACATCATATTTGCTCTAACAATGTCTGATTTTTTATAATCTCTTTAAATAGAACGCAACTCAGTGTTGTACTGCATTTTGCACTGCATTGAATCTTTCCATATCAATGCCTTTTGCATCATTACTTTTAAACTGATTTCCTTTTCTCCTAAACTGTTTACGTTCTCCATCACAGCTGTAAGCTGTATGCATCGAAATTTCATTTTGTATACACTTACAAAGTAAGCCTTAAGTTAGATGTCATATTAGATTTTGTTTCTTTGTTGTTTGTTTTCTTTTATAAATATATCATTTTAATCTCTTTGACATGTTTACATTCTTTTTTAAATGTTTGAACCTCCCATTTGGCCAGCAGGTGATCATTAGCTGAATAAGGACACTCATTGGGGAAGTACAGCTTAAAAAAAAGAAGCAGCCACAGTGGACACAGTAATTCCAGATAAGCTGCAGAGACCTACAGCTTAAGTGAGAGTCATAATAACAAATTTTGCACTCCTTAAATATGGCTGTTATGAAAAAGGGGAAAGAAAAAAAATCCAGTGTGAAAAGAAGAGGACAAACACTCCAGTTTACAGTCTGCCTCCAGCCATGTCAGGAGTGTGGGGGATATGTGGGCTGCAGACAAAGGAACGAAGGTGAACTGACCAGAAGATACCAGATTCAGACTTTCTGGCCTACATGCCAAACAAATGCAGAGTAGTTCTGCAACAAAACCAGGCAACAAAAGAGTTTAGATTAAGAAGAGTTTTGTCTTCGAAGGACCAACAGCATAGAGAGCCATAATCAAAAGTGTTATGTTCAAAGTAAATTGGTCTCTTAAAATGGCAATTTTTAGTCCAAGGCAACACAGAAATAAATCTGTTCAGGGATCTTTGACAAGACTCAAAAACTAACCTTTTCAGATGCCCTCCATCCAATCTAAGTTTTTTCTTTTTTTTGCTGTTTTTTCTGTAAAAAAGAAGGGATTAAAAATTAAATCTCTAGTGTGCAAAGTTGGGATATAATAACACTAAAGATTTACATGAATGCAAATGGATGCTAAATCATTTATTTGTATCAAGAGGCTTTTCATTGCACAGTTATGGAAAATATACATAAAAGCTTTATATCCCCAAAAAAATACAGTATGTTAAAACATTTGTGGCTATAATGTGGAAGAATCTGATCAAATTTAAAAGGTGTAAATACCTTTTTCAAAACATTTGTTTTCTGTTAAATCTTTTTTCACAGTGCACTCAAGATATCCAAAAATTACAAAATAATTTCTTCACAAAAACTGTGAGATACGTGGAAAATTGGCACCAAACAGCAGATTCCTGAGCCACCAGTAAAGCAAAGCACAGGGTCACTGTGCTCCTCTAAGCTGAAGGCTGGGTGCAGAAATGAAACAAAGCAAGTCAGGAGAGAGACTCACAGATTACTGTGGAGTAAAGAAACTGCTACAGAAAAGAGCATGCAGCATAAAATGTCAGAAATTCTGGACCCATTTAGAGATATTATGCACTGTTCTTATCTGGTTTAAGCCCTATGTTGAACTGGAAACTATAGAGGAGATAACTGATTACATTCTTCAATGAAAGATATGTCCATTGAGGAAGCTGTTGACAGTTCCTCACGTGACAAGTTAAGATAGTGCCATGTTTATCAGTTTGTTTCATCACCCACTCATCTGCAGCTGACTGGGATCCTTGAACAATGGCTTTGGGACGAACAAATAGTTTTCCATTTCCTGTTTAACACATGGATTTCAGATGTGCAACAATCTCTGTTTTCTAATTCACTCAGTGTTAGTGGGTGACAGGTCAGTACTGTAGGAGGGCCAGTTCTGCACATCAACTTTTCTTTACTCTGCACACATGCAGTTCCGTGGGAGCGTACCAAATGTACTTTGGTTTTGTTTCACTAAAACAACCAAAGCATCCTATTAAAACAAAGATATAATCTGCAAAGCTCTTGTTCCTACTAAATGCAGACTTGTCACGCAGGACATTAGCCTTCAAATGCAGTGTTGGGAATGGAAAATAAGACGGGCCCTTTCCAAAAAAAAAAAAAAACAAGTAAAAGACACCATGTCTTCTTCCTAACATAAGAAAAACTTGGAACACCTTTCTTTGGCCCAATCTGACATTTTATTGTTATTTAGATTTTTAAACAGGCCATCCTACCATATTAGGGGTGGGGGGCTGGTGGTTAAACAAGAATTGTGTTTAGATTCCCTCTCTCAATATTCTGACCCGTCCCTTTAGAAGTACAATGTAGTTGCATTTTAATTCTACACTGATGGTGCATTCAGGGTGAATTGGAATCTTTGTTTTTTGTGTGTGTGTTTTGCATGCAGGCTGTCATCTGACCAAAGCACCTCTTCCCATAAATATTCTGTCTCCTGAACTGCTTTCAACTACGGTAAATGCAGACTTGTTTTTCTCCCTTCCATAAACAACAGATCTGGTCATTGTACGACTAACAGTTCTCCTGTTGACTGATTCTCCTGCCTGTGCTGTGAATCAATGCAGCTGCTGACTGCTTCTTTGATTAATGTTTTCCTTGCCTGAACTGACGGCTTAGATAAATGAACGGGGTAAACCTGCGTCTAAACATTTGCCATTAAAAGCAGTAGCCCTTGATTTTATTTAGGTGTAAATAGAGTAAAGGGACTGGAGTTAAAATGTTCTTAATCTTGAATGAGTAAAAACAATATGAAAAGTACATAATGTGTTGCTCCCATTTCACAAGTATGAGCTACTTTGCATTGGCCTATAACATAAATATACATTAAAAGTTTTATAAGGAAATGTAAAAGCAAGTGAGGGATGCAGATTTGTTTGCAAGAGGCGTTCATATCTGAGGTCCATAAGGCAAAGAGATTTTAGCCATCTGATTATAATCTTCCTTTTAGCTGATAATTGTAACCAATATTTTTGGATGTTGTTTTTGTTCTTGCCTTAAAAAAAAAAAAAAAACATGTTATTTGTAAAATTCACAACTTATTCTGCTATTATCTTTGAACTATTTATTACCATGATGAACCAAGATGCTTTTTTTAAAATCAACTTTTAATAATTACTTTGAAAAAGGACTGGCCGTTGTTGCTCCTGATTATATCAATGGGGCTTGGTCACTTTGTGTGACTTAACTGTGCTGACATGTGTGCAGATGCTGTCATTTCCATCCCTTCAGTCCAGGACTATCTTCTATTATCCATGAGAAAGGAGGTAAACTGTGACAAGGCTGTGTTCAGGTATTCATTAGTGGGGAGGAAATCACAGGTTCAGCAAAGTAGTGAAAGATGTGTCAACCACTGCAAATTAATCTGAGCTTCTGTTCCGAAGGCTCTAAAACACACTTGCTTAAAAACCTTCAAAATCAGCTTGTCATTAACAATTTACCCAGGACAAACAACATGAATGGGTTGAGTGAATAACAATGAGTCCTCCCAAGACCCCTGCCTTTCTTTCCTGAGCTGCTGGACTTAATTGTATCTCACCTTGATCCCCCTTCACCAAAACTTTCTCCACAGTTGAGAAGGACAAGAGACAGAAGCAGCGGGAGCAGACATTCTGTCTCTGCCTTCTCTCTGAGCTGGCCTGTGGCCTCTGAAAAACTCATAGGAGAAACGCCACATGCAACAAAGCCGCTTCTATCACCCCTTCCCCCATTCCTTCAAGAACCACATGACTTCAAAATCTGACCAATCTGACCTGCAGTTTTACAACAAAGCTCACAGGTCAAAAAAAAAAAAAAAAAAAAAGCCAACCAGCACAAGTTTTTTTTTTTTTCTCTGACCAACATAGAAATCCTGTTTTGTGGACTTTAGCACAAACTTTAAAACTTTCATCCCCACCCCCACATGAAAGCTTACCCTTTCTCTTCTTTTCCCTAAATGTCCCTGCACACAGCAACAGCCTACAGTCTGTTTGATTGGCTGCAGCCTGCCGTCGCAACGCTAGCCCCACGCCTTCAGGGGCCCAGTCAAGCCAAACAAAACAGATTGCCTTTAACCACTCCCTTCAGGCAAATAAACTTTATAAAACTTCTGCAGTCTATTAAGGCTCCTGGTGTCAGGTCTCAAAGCTGTAAACAGCTGTGGTGGTTTTTTGTTACAATAAACAGGAGCAACAGATCATTAGTTCTAACCAAAGACTATGAACTCAGCCCTGGCTCATGCTTGAGAGTGAAGTTAGAGACATATAATAGAGAAGGAGTTCAAGCTGGAAGGATGAAACCAGATAAAAGAAAATCATCACGTGCATCGACTCTATATGAACTGTGTTTTTTTTACTGTTGTTTTAACCCCCGTTGGTTTATAAGACAAAGAGCGCAATAT